GCCGCAGGCTGGGTGCTTCAGCGCTCCACACAGAGATGCCACTCCATTATCTTCCAGGGCATTTGAGCTCAGATCGAGGAGGGACAGGGACTTATTGCACAAGAGGACTTGGGAGATGGAGTCACAGGAGACACAGGTGAGACAGCAGTACGTCAACCTGCAAAGAAACACACCGTCTCCCAGCCCACCGAACGGCCGCACGTCCACCTGGAGAGACACACCATCTCCCAGCCCACTAAAGCTTCCTATGGTAATGTTACCACATTCTCTTTGTCATAGGCAAAACCTTTCCAGATGTTCCTTGAACTCTACTGCCACTCAAGAAAATAAGGAGCTGGGTGAGGTGCCTCACACCTGTCATCCTAGCACTTTGGGAGAGCAAGACAGGTGGATCACCTGAGACCAGGAGTTTGAGACCAGCCTGACCCACATGATGAAACCCCGTCTCTACTAAAAGTACAAAATTAGCCGGGCACGGTGGCGGACGCCTGTAATCCCAGCTACTCGGGAGGCTGAGGCAGGAGAATCGCTTGAACCCGGGAGGTGGAGGTTGCAGTGAGCTGAGATCGCACCATTGCACTTCAGTCTGGGCGACAAGAGCGAAACTATGTCTCAAAAAAAAAAAGACGATAAAAGAAGGGGATTAAAACTTGTAACACCTACGGACATACAGAAGGAAGAATGTGGAATATAGTGTCCCAACAAACAATCTCAGATTCCAGTTCCAAGTCAGATCATCACCAGCTGGAAGACCTAGGGCAAAAGTCACCCATTCTTTGCAACAGAGTATACATATGGCTTAATGGAATGTACTGAACAATATCCCATGTAGAATAATTTTTGATTTGTTGTTTAATATGCATATTTAAGGTTTTGTTAAAAGAATAGGTTTTAGGTGCTCGAGCCACAAAAAATAAAATGGATCAGCTATGTCAGAGGATAAGTATGTTAATTCCTTGACAACAGTCAACCTTTTACTATGGATATGTATATCAAATAATTTTTGTTTTAAAAATTATTTAATTGGCCGGGCGCGGTGGCTCACGCCTGTAATCCCAGCACATTGGGAGTCCGAGACGGGCGGATCACGAGGTCAGGAGATCGAGACCATCCTGGCTAACACGGTGAAACCCCGTCCCTACTAAAAATACAAAAAATTAGCCAGGCGTGGTAGCGGGCGCCTGTAGTCTCAGCTACTCGGGAGGCTGAGGCAGGAGAATGACGTGAACCCGGGAGGTGGAGCTTGCAGTGAGCTGAGATCACGCCACTGCACTCCAGCCTGGGCGACAGAGCAAGACGCTGTCTCAAAAAAAAAAAAAATTATTTAATCACAATGTACTGTATCCTTTGCTGAGAGCTGATTTTAAATGTTCTCACATCCTCCAGAATGGTAGCTCTGTGAGGTGATAGATCTGTTAATTAGCTTGATTGTAGTAACCATTTTACAGTGTATGTATATATTAGAACATCACATTGTATGGCTTAAATATATGCATTTTTAAAATATTTTAATTTTTTCTTTTTCTTTTTTGAGATAGAGTCTTGCTCTGTCTCCCAGACTGGAGTGCAGTGGCACAATCTTGGCTCACTGCAACCTCCACCTCCCAGGTTCAAGCGATTCTCCTGCCTCAACCTCCCAAAGTGCTGAGATTACAGGCATGCGCCCCAGCTAAATTTTACACACGGTTGATTTTTCTATTTTTAGTAGAGACCAGGCATGCGTCCCAGCTAAATTTTACACACGGTTGATTTTTCTATT